TTTACTTTATCAAGATATATTATATATTGTAATGAAATTTGTATGGATTTAATTATTAATTAAGATTTATGAGTTATACATAAAGAGTATGGTATCTGTTATAATAAATTTAAAGGACTAATAACTATGAGTAAATTAACTTTTAAATAATTTATTACATGAAAAATATTTAACTTCTGAAAATGTTTATAAAATTAAATTTTGTAAATATTTTTCAATATAAATATAACAATAAATATGATGTTAATTTAACGTAGAAAGTTTTGCATAAACTTTAGATTCATTTATATTAAAATTTAAGCAATAATTTAACAAAATTACTACAAATTAATTACAAACAATTAAATTAATTAAAAAACAAAATTCCAAAGCGTTGGCCGAAGTGTACGGTTGCCATCGCATGGATGGGCACAGTTGTACTCCGGGTAACAGTGGCTGCTATGCTGTGCAGTGCATTGGATTATACGGCCGTCGTTGTACTGCCCGGCCGTTGAATAGCACCTGAAGTTCACGAGTAGACCATCTTTTATAAACCGAGGATCAGTTGCGTTGAGAGCGCAATACGTAAAGCACAGGTTGTTGTGACACAAGTGGTAGTCATCGCCTTGTAATGCATATCTAAACACTATAATTATAATAACATTTTGTTATTTAATATAATTGTTACAAATAATTAAACATACAATTAGTATCAAGAGTTTTTGATTTGCATTTTATTTGATTTATGCAATTTAATAAATTTAACAAAACTAAAATATTTAATGTCTTTTTGTAAAACATTATGGATTATGTAATTTTAAATATATTTGTTAAAATTTAGTTTTAATTGATTTATTTTTAGAACACATATTTATGTATTAATGTTTTGTCAAAACATGCAATACATGTGATATTTTTAAACATATACCATAAATAATATTACAATTATAATTTATAATTTATAAATCTTGTTGGATTTAATTTTCATATAATTATCAAATCAGTAACTTTCTAACAATATAATTAACATTGAATAATAAGCCAAACGATTCGCAATACGTTATACAACTTAAATCCCGTCGACAATTGAGCCTAGAGTTGGACGGATTGCATCTAATTGTGTTATTGACGCCAGGGATACCTGTAAGACACCAGCCGGCCTTAAACAGCCCCTTCCCGTTTACAACTGTTGAGTCTTACGGACATATTGTATAATATAAATTTCATATTAGATTTAAAATATTAGTTATGAATTCATTAAACGGATATATGAATTGAATACTTCCGCTATAATTACAAGACTTCCAACAGCCCTGTGATGAACAGCCGGCGTATGATTTCAGTGTTATTTCATAACAATTATATGCATGTATTGTAATTATTAAACAAATAATTGAGATCTTCATAATAACTGAAAAGTTTTATTTATATATTAAACAAATTAAGTTTACATTTTAATATTAGTATTAACAAAAATAGTAATGAAAATTGTTAGTATTTTTCCAAACAAACACATGTTAGTCAAATATATGGAGCAAATATTATAATTATCTATAAATTAATTGGACTTTAATTTAAATAAATCTAATTAGTTTTAATGTATTATTAAATTGTTTATAAATTTAATTTCGTCTTGGTTTTAGTAAGTAAATAAGATTTAATTAGAGTTATTGGCATTGATGGGTGCATTAACTTTACCATTGGATATCATATAGGAATTGCCCTGATTTAGACGGAGAGGGGTTTGGGGTAGATAATGGGGGGCTCGGATACAGGGCGGGCACAGAGGGTTACTCTCAAGGTGTTTGTACCGCTTATAGAGGATATCAAACAGATATTTATTGTCAAACAAATTCATCTCAAAGAGTGTATTGATATCATCGACAGTACACCTCTGGATAAACATTACGTTTTTGAAATCATCAAACGATACGTTTGGATGCGTCTCCCGGAGCTGTTTGATCTTCGCGATCACAAAACTTGGCATCACTTTGATTGCCATCAACACGTGTTTGGACACATCCAGACTCTCATTCATATACGTACTGTTGGTTTGTTCAATGATTTGCTGCGACTTTTCAAACACAAAGCTCATCCAATACCTCTTCAGATCGTGCAGTTGGTGCTCATCTGCGAACTTATAGATCGCCAAATAGTTGCCAATTGTTATCATTTTTGTGATCTCCACCTCCGAGTCCCGCATCAGGCGCTCGACACCAAACTTTTTGGCCATCAGATAGACGTCAAACACCGTTTGGAGCGGCGTTTCGGCGTTGAATTCCGTGCGCTTTGTGTACAGATATTTGAGCATAACTTTAAACGTGTCCACAGACGAGACCATGTCTTGCAAATCAAACTCTTGTTTTGTCGGGTCTTCACCAAAGAGTTTGGCGAAGTATTGGCTTTCGGTCAACAAAACCAGTTTATGTGCCGGAAGTTTAGTGCCGTTGAGTCCTAGTTTGACGTCGCTGTACGAGTCGTTCAGATAATGGTCGCCAAAACCGGCAAATACCACCACTTCTGGTCTCTGGTGTTGACCTACTGTTGAATGAATTCAATTGTTATACATTTGTAATTTAATACTCATTAACACGTATACCATCAATATAGTTGTCGGATACTCTCGGGCCATCATTTTGGTAATTATAGGGGTCGGATCGGCGACCATTTTGGTAATTGGCGTATGAATAGCCGAAACAAATGCATAGCGCTATTATTAATACACGAAGCATAATGTAATTGCTATTAAGACTAAACTCCTAATACTATACTATCAGTTGCGATGCGCTCCTTATATATGTGGCATTTCTGGCAAATATTTCATAGACTCATCATTTGATGGGAAGTTTTTTATAAAACAATCTCAAAATAATTTTTAAACTTGATTTTAAAGTCCATTTCCTTTCATCTCGATAAATTGTCAACAAAATCTTATAATAAGTGTAAAGGGGTTGTTTTATCTTATGCATATTAAAATAAATATATTAATGTTTATAATAATTTGTTCAAACTTTTGTAATTTTTGATATTATCAATGAATAGCAAAATATGATCTTTAATTTGTTATGTCTCATTTAATGTTTTATTTAAATACAATTCATTGTGTTTACTGTTAAACACTTAATGTATTAAATTTTTATTATAACTTAAATTTTACAATGTGCAATTTTTAATGATATTAATATTTTACAAAATTATTAAATAATTATAATTATCAGATGGAAAGTTACCAATAACATGTTTAATCACTTAATTATCTTGATTACTTCTTCGTATAATAATTATACTATAATTTATGTAAAATAATAATTAATATTAAAAATGTATTAAAGTGTGAGGTAATTTTTGGTTTGATAAATCAATTATTTAATTAAGGTCACTATTTTGAAATAGAAAGTTGAATAAATAGAATATTATTATCAATAATTCCACTACAAGTGAGACATATTTCTATTATTGAAAAAGAACGAGAATCATTAAACTAATTCAATGTTAATTGTACCCGTATAAATTATTCTAGGTTCATTTGTGTGATAATTAAATATAATGATGTATAAGTTTAAAGTAATTAACCATGTTTCAAACATAGACTGAATTATTACAGAATTATAGCTACCACACAAGAGTCATTTAGTAATTACTTCATGCCTGTGCATTTTTAAAATACACTTAAAATGCACTTTTTAATTAAATATGTATTGAATAATACACCTATAATGCATATCAATTAATTTATTAATTACAAGAACTTACATTGTAATTGTTTTTAAGTGCTTGTATTCATCAAGTTTTATAAAAGTGATAACAAATAAATTTTATATTTAATTTGTTAGTTGTTATATTTGTATAAATTATTTATAATAAGAAATTTATTATAAAACTATGAATGATATTCATTACGACGATTCTCTGCCCCAACACTTAATCATAAAATCAGCGGACAATCACTTGTATAGAATCGGCTTATGTATAGATTATGACGATAATCGTGAGCGAAAACGCTATTTGCACCATAGGCCTTTAATATTATTTATAACATTTGCCATCAATGTAATCAAAACAGACATGTGTCTTATTTTACACGATGTAAATCCCTATTTATATACAATATTTGGTGGATTCTGGTATTACATCGGTGTTCGGGTACACCTGGACATCATGTGGAACGTCACCTTCATTTTGGTGCTCTCATCGCAGGCTCTCTATTATTACAACTATAGAAATGGCATAAAACCCACATTCCTTCGTGTGTTTCAAATGATGTCGGGCTATATATCGCCCAATTCTGTTGGCCTCACGAATGGCACCGAAATCCGTGCTTTACTTAAGAGATCGAAAAGATTGCTTGAATTGACAAAATTGAATAACGAGATCGCGATTCCTATACTCAGCGCCGATGTTATGCTTTTCACATATATTATGAATTGTTCCCAATGGGAGACTTGGCTTTACGGCGTTCCCAACACTATATACTATGTGTTGTATATATATTCTGCATATAATTTTGCTTTGTATCAAATCATCTATTTTTATATTATCTGTTATTACATCAGAATTAAGATTAAATTCATATCCAAAACACTGTCGGATATCCAACGAAGACGTTATTATGGAAACGTAAACAATGTTATGAAGTCATTGGACGCTATATTTGATGAGATCGATGAATACAACACCACTTTTTGGTCTAAATTTATATGTATTTTTTGGTTCACAATCGGCTCATTCACCGTTATCTTCCTCTATATCGTTATATTTACCTCGATTTCAATCATATATAAAGTCTCTTTTACGTCATGCATCATAACGTTTACCCTTTTGTTTAATTTGATTATATTTACCGCTTCTTCGGTTCACTCGGAGGCCAAGAATTTGTATAAGAAATTCAATTCAATAAATACTTTGGAGAGTAGATATAAAAAGAGGGATAGCATTGCATTGACAATGAATATTAAGGTAAAATATTGACATATATTTTGAATACTTTATAAACTATAATTTATAATACAATTATTAACTAAATAATAGTTACAAACAATGATAGAACGATTGGCTGAGAAAAAAGTGGGCTTTTCCTGTTGGATGTTATTTACTATTGACTACTTTAGGTGTTATGAAGTGAGTCTTAATTTGTTTGTCAATTAAATTATATTTAATATAAATAATGTACAAAAATTACTTGTGTTTATTATTAATGTATATCAATATTTAATGTTTTTATTTAGATCTTATCACTGTTTGGCGTATTATTTCTTAAAATAATTGAAATGTCAGAGAAATAACTTTAAATATTACACATAATATTGAATGTTATATTTATGAGTTATAATATTTAATTATAACTGAATATTTGTATTTATAAACTTATTTACATCTTACTGTTATCTTTTTAAATATTTTAACTTAACGAATATAAGAGAAAATCCTTTTTAAAAATTGGTAAGAATTTTGAGTATATTTTTAAATTATTATTTGTCTTTATTTTTTGATAATTCAAATGTCGCAAACACTGCATTCAAAATAATTAATTTGACAAAAATATATAATTTATACTCTAAATGCAAAATTTTATTTATATTTAAAAATTGGATATAAAGTTTTTTATATTATTAGTACAGTATATTATTTTATGTTTTATATTTACTTAAGTCTGTAAAACCTAATTATAATATCGACTCAAAGATTGTGTAATAATAGAGAAATTATTATAACGTTATTTTATGATTTTAGATAAAGTTTATATAAGATATGAGTTTAGGAAAACCAAAACCTCACCAACTTTTGCCATATTACTCTATGAGAAACTAGAGATAGCAATAACTTAAAATTTACTCGATCAATTTTAACAAACTATATACCAAAATGTTTATCATAAAATTTACCTAATACGTATTTCAGGATTTTCTGAATATATGAATGGTATATGAGTATAATGTATAAAAGTTGTTAAATTATTATAATTTAATTTCTTTGCCATTTGAAAAGTACAAGTTCAAATTTTAAAATATTGATATCAAAATGATTGTAACTAAACATAGAAAAAAGTATTTTCTCAAAATTTCAAATTTCGACATTTAGCTCTATATTTTACAAATAAAAAGATATTTAATAGAATTTTGCGATAATATTGAATAATTGAAAAAATGATTTTTTCTGTATCTAATCAAGGTCACTTTGATGTCAATATTGTTAAATTTCAATTTGTAATTTTCAAATGGCAAGGAAATTAAAATATTGTAATTTTACCAATTATATGCATTATACTCATAAACCATTCATTTATTTAGAAAATCCTGAAACACATATTAGGTAAATTTTATGATAAACATTTTGGTATATAATTTGTGAATATTGATCTAGTAATTTTTAAGTTATTGCTATCTCTAGTTTCTCATAGAGTAATATGGCAAAAGTTGGTGAGGTTTTGGTTTTCCCAAACTCATATGTACTGTATATAGGGTGACCAACTCAAAATTTTCAAAACCGGGACATTTCATGAAAATTATAGAAAATTCCGGGACATTACAAGACATTTCATAATTTACCCAGATATTTTTTAGTTAAAT